CTGGATGTCACAGCCAGACACACTGAAGGCTTTCCCTGCACACCAGTGTGCCAACAACAGTTGTGGCCAGGCCTCACAGCCAGCAGGCCAGGGACCAGCCTCGCCTACCAGTGTGTCCATAGAAGTTCTGGCCCAGCCACAACAGGGCACCACACTAGTTCACTCAGGAATACCTCTGGAACACCTGGCTCTGGTGACAAGGTGGATTCCACCACTGGACCCCACAGGACACCTTCTAAATAAAGCAATTTTTTCAAGACCAGGAGTTGTAGCTGACCTACCTAATGCATAGAAACAAACAGGCAAAATGAAGAGAGAAAAGAATATGTTCCAAACAAACAAAAAAACTCCCTGGCCAGGTAGTTCAGTTGGTTGGAGCATCGTCCTGTGCACCAAAAGATTGTGGGTTCCATTCTCAATTGGGGTACATACCTAAGTTGCAGGTTTGATCCCCAGATGGGCATGTACAGAAGGCAGCTGGTCGATGTTTCTCTCTCACATCGATGTTTTTCTCTCTCTCTCTCCATAAAAATCAATCATTTAAAATAATAATAATAAGAAAAACAGGACAAAACCCCAGAAAAAAAACTAAATGAAAAAGAAATAAATGACACTGAGGTAAGCTGTCTGCTAGATAAAGAATTCAAAGTAATAGTCTTAAAGATGCTAGCCAAACTCTGCAGACAAGTGGGTAAACTCAGTGAGAATTTTCACAAAGAGATAAAAATGATTTTTATTTAAAAGGACGTATCAGAACTGAAGACTGTAACAACTGAAATGAAAAATACACTTGAGGGAATCAACAGTGGACCAGATGGTGCAGAAGAATGGATCAGCAATCAGGAAGACAGGATAGTTGGAAGTCACCCAATTGGAAGATTAAAAAGAAAAGAATTAAAAAGAATGAAGGTAGCATAAGGGACCTTTGGGACAGCATCAAGCATACTAACATTCAAATCATAGGGTTACCAGAAGGAGAAAAGAGAGAGAAAGTGATGGAAAACCTATTTGAAGAAATAATGACTGAAAACTTCCCTAACCTGGAGAAGAAAACAGACCCAAGTCCAGGAAGCACAGAGAGTCCTAAACAACTGAACCCAAAGAGGCTCACACCAAGACACATTATAATTAAAGAGTTAAAATTTAAACATAAAGAGAGAATCTTAAAAGCAGCAAGAGAAAAACAACTAGTTACATACACGGGAATGCCCATAAGACTGTCAGCTGACTTTTCAACAGAAACTTTGCAGGCCAGAAGGGAATGGCACAATGTAGTCAATATGATGAAAAGGGGGAAAATTTACAACCAAGAATACTGTACCCAACAAGGTTATCATTCAGAATTGAAGGTGAGATCAGGATTTTCCCAGAGTAGCAAAAGCTAAAGAGTTCATCACTGCTAAACCAGCATTACAAGAAATATTAAAGGGAATTCCGTAAGTGGAAAAGAAAAGGCCAAAACTAGAAATAAGAAAATACATGAAAGAAGAAAAAAATCTCACTAGTAAAGGCAAACATTAGTAAAGGTAGAAGACCAACAACTTATAAATATAGTATGAAAATAATTAAAATGACAAAAATTATTATTTTTTGTTAATCTTCACATGAGGATATTTTTTCCATTGCTTCTCAGAGAGAGTGGAAGGGAGGGGGGAAAGAAAGAGAGAAACATCGATATGAGAGAGACACATCAACTGGTTACCTCCTGCACGCACTTCAACCAGGGATGGGGAGTGAACCCACAACCCAGGTACATGCCGTTGACCAGGAATCAAACCTACCACCCTTCAGTGTTCAGGCTTATGTTCTAACTACTGAGCAACACTGGCCAGGGCTCAATAATTATTTTAAATGTAAGTTGATTAAGTGCTCCATTAAAAAACATAGGGTGACTGAATGGATAAAAAAAACAAGACCCTTACATATGCTGCCTACATGAGACTCCACATTGAAAGACACATACAGACTGAAAATAAAGGGATGGAAAAAGATATTTCATGATAATGAAATGGAAAAAAAGAAAAAAAGAAGCTGGAATAGTAATACTTATATCAGACAAAATAGACTTTAAAACAAATGCTGTAACAAGAGACAAAAAAGACCCAGGAATTCCACTTCTGGGCACTTATCTGAAGAAAATGAAACACTAATTTAAAAAGATATACTCACCCCTATGTTCACTGCAACATTATTTACAATAGCCAGTATATAGAAGGTGATCATCAATAGATGAAAGGATAAAAAAGTGTAGGTGTATGTGTGTATACACACACACATGAATATTACTCAACCATGGAAAGAATGAAATTTTGCCATTTGCAACAACATGGATAGACCAAGAAGGTATTACACTAAGTGAAATAAATTAGAGAAAGACGAATATTGTACCATTTCACTTATGTATGGAATCTAAAAAACTAGACAGATGAATAAACAAAACAAAGACTCATAGATTCAGAAAAACTGATAGTTGCCAGAAGGTTGAGTGGTGGGGGTATAGGCAAAATGTGAAGGGGAGTAAGAGGTACAAACATAGTTATAACATAGGTAAGTCACAGGGGTGTAAAGTACAGCATAGGGAATACTGTCAATAATATCACAATAACTTTGTACAGTGACAGATGGATAGTGGACTTTTTGTGTTGGTCACTTTGTAAGGTATATAAATGTGTAATCTCACTATGTTGTACACTTGAAACTAATATTGTATGTCAGCTGTAATTAAAAAGAGCTTTACATTCCAAAATAAAAAGTAGACATGAAAAAAATAGTAATGGGAAGACTTTGAAAGATTTTAAGCTCAGGAGGTTAAGCTGATCATATTTATGTAATAAAAAGATCATACTAGCTGATATGTGCAGAATGATTTGGAGGGCAAGAGTGAACCACTTAGGAAACAATTGCCATAGTTCAAGAAAAAGATCATAGTGGGTTGAACTAATGCAGCAGTTTTCAACCAGCATGCCATGGCAGGCACACTGGTGTGCCACAAGAATTTTTAAAACATGCAATACCTAACTATTCAGGGACACTGACTCCTTTTCCTTTAGACTGTCAAGGAAAAAAATGACAACAGCCACCTAGCAGCTCAGCGGTTGAGCATTGACCTATGATCAGAAGATCGCAGTTTGATTTCTGGTCAGGGCACATGCCTGGGTTGTGGGCTCAGTCCCTGGTGGGGAGCGTGCAGGAGGCAGCTGATCAATGGCTCATCATTGATGTTTCTATCTCTCTCTCTCCCTTTCCCTCTCTCTCTCTGAAATTAATAAAAACATATATTTTTTGAAATGACAACAGCCAACACAATAACTATCCAGTGCTACTGAATCAAAATTATACTTACATTTTTGTCAGATCAGCAAATAATATATTTTTTGGTGTGCTACAGGATTTTAGTAATTAGTTTATGTGTGCAATGAGATGAAAAAGGTTGAAAATTACTGAGCTAATGTATAGTAAAGGAGACAGGATAAGTGAAATTATATTATTAATTGGAGGTAGAATTAACAGACCTTGCAGATAATTTCAAAATAGGGGATGAGAGCAATCAAGTTTTTGGCATAAGCAATGCATTTATAGGGAAGGGGAATATTGGAGAAGAAATCGGTTTTGGGAGATAAATCTAGAGTTCTTTGAACATGAAAAGTTTGAGATATCATTGGATATCCACGTGGATTATCAGATCAGCAGCTAGATATACAAACGGGGGTTTGGAAAGAGATCAGGGCCAGGGATATATATTTGGGACTCATCAACATATAGATGAAATGGAAAGCCATGGGAATTGATGAGACTACTCTGAGAGAGAGATATAGAAGAAAAAGGAGAAGGGAGCTCAGGACCTCCAACATGTAGAGATCAGGCAGAGAAAGAGGAGCTGTCAGCAAAAAAAACCCAAAAAAACAAAAATGGAGTGGCCAGAGTCACAAAAGCCAGGAGAAAAAACTTTCAAGAAGGAGGGAATGCTTAAGTGTGTCAAACACTGCTTAAAAGTCAAGAAAGATGAATATAAAGAGATGAAACCATTGGACTTGGCAACATGGCAGGTGTTGGTGAACCTGACAAGAATAATTTCAGTGGAATGGAGTGAATAGAAACCAAATTAAAGTGTTTCAATGGGGCAGGTGAAGGATAAAGAGGGGAACTGGAGCAATAGTAATAGGGACAGGAAGAAATGCATAGACTTTAGAACCATTGTGGTAAGGGACTCGATGTGGGAAGTGAGGGAGGTGACCATAGGATATCTAGAGATGATAAGAAGAGTAGTGGCTCCACTAATTCTAAGAACAAAAAGAGAGATCTGTGAGGAAGAAAATGATTTCCATTTGGAACAAATTGATTTTAATGTGCTGGCAGGACATTCATGTGTCCTGAAGCTTGGTGATTCCCAAATCTATATGTCCAGTCCAGAGATGCAAAATGGTCTGGACTGGACATACAGATTTGAGAATCACCAGAATAAAAATTGTTTTGGCTGACCATGAGTGTGGGTAAGAGTTCCCCTCAGTGTAAAAGTCAACTTTTGGGGAAATCTTGCATTAAAATGGTCAGAGAAAAAAAAACGAGCAAAGAAAATCAAGCAAGACTCATAAGAGAGTTGTATAATGGAAACCAAGAGAGAAAAGATTTTTAAGGAAAGGGGAGTCAATAATGCCAACAATGTGATCAAGAGTGAGCAGAGAGTGTTCAAGAGTGCTGAGAGCTCAGCTGGTCATGGCTAAGCGGTTGAGCATCAGCCTAGGATCCAGGAGATCGAGGTTCGATTCCCGGTCAGGGCACATGCCCAGGTTGTGGGCTCGATCCCCAGTTGGGGACATGTAGGAGGCAGCCGATCAATGACTCTCTCATCATTGATGTTTCTACCTCTCTCTCTCTGTCCCTTCCTCTCTCTGAAATCAATAAAGATATATTTTTTTAAAAAAGAGTGCTGGGAATAGAGAGGTAGCTGTTAGAACTGACACCCAGAAGGCCACAATGACTGGGGCTTCTTGTGTCCACAGGCTTCTCCAACATCAACCAGACTCGTCTTGATTTCCACTTCTTCTCTGATAGAACTACTGGTGGCTTGGAGGTCCAGCAGGCTAGCCTTATGTTCTTTGTGCAGCTCCCTCCCAGTACTACCTGGACTTTGAAGGTGAGGGTCCTTGTGCTAGGCCCACATGATTCCAACCTCACCTTGGCCACTCAGCATCTGCTGAAGGTGGATGCCAGTGGCTGGCACCAGCTCCTCCTGGGGCCTGAAGCTCAGGCTGCCTGCAGCCAGGGACACCTGACCCTGGAGCTTGTACCTGAAGGCCAGGTAGCCCAAAGCTCAGTCATCCTGAGTGGGGTTGCCCATAGGCCTTTCGTGGCAGCCCGGGTGAGAGCTGGGGGCAAGCACAGGATTCGACGGCATGGTATTGATTGCCAGGGTGGGTCCAGGATGTGCTGTCGACAAGAGTTCTTTGTGGACTTCCGTGAGATTGGCTGGCATGACTGGATCATCCAACCTGAAGGCTATGCAATGAACTTCTGCACAGGGCAGTGCCCACTGCATGTAGCAGGCATGCCTGGCATTGCTGCCTCCTTTCACACTGCAGTGCTCAATCTTCTCAAGGCCAACACAGCCACAGGCACCGCTGGAGGGAGCTCATGCTGCGTGCCCACAATCCGGCACCCCCTGTCTCTGCTCTACTATGACAGAGACAGCAACATTGTCAAGACTGATATACCTGACATGGTGGTAGAGGCCTGCGGGTGCAGTTAGTCCATGTGGTATGGAGAGCCCAAGCTGGGGTAGGCAAATATGCCCTCACAGAGGTATGCTTCCTTGAGAAGAGGGACAGACTCCATTACTGCCTCTGTCCAGAAGGTGCACTCCCTCTTCCTGAGCAACCTATGGAAATTATCCCAACTTTGACTTGAAGAGATCATCTAAAGAGAGTCACTGTACCATCTTCACAACCACCAGCCTCTCCTAGAGCACAGTCCATCCAGCAAGCCTCACATGCTCAACTACCATCCCAGAGACTCTGATCCACCTCCAACGATGAGCAGTGCAATCTAGTTCCCAGGCAGACACCCAGAGTCTACTCTTAATCCACCCCATCATCCACTATGCCTCCCTGCCCTTTGCACTCAATGTTCTCCCCACTCTGGATAAGCTGACCCAGTCCCTTCCCTTGATTTTCTGAATCTCCAGAGAGTCCCCTCCTTGGTTTCACCAAAGATTAGATCATTACTCTCCAAAATGAGGCTCATTCCTCTGTCTTGAGCCCCTTTTCTTCTTACTTGCCCAGGTGGGCTGCTAAGGCTCTTTTGGCACACCCATGTCCATTCTTTGTCTTTTTTTGCCCTACTGTATGCCCTTGAGGCCTGACTCACCTGAGTTCCTTTGGCCCCTGCTTCTTACTGAGTTTGACTAAGGGGAGACACAAGCAAGAAGTCAGAGCATTTCTTATTCCTGCTCCCTCAGCCTAGGTGCCATGGTTCTGTGTGACCGTGGCTGTGACATGTACCTACAACTCCTGTCTGGCTCCCCCATTCCATGGCTCCAGCTTTGCCTGGGTTCTGATATCACTGCTTCCTTGCTAGAGGCTTGTAGTGGCTCTCCACTCTTACTAGTCCCTAGGTGCTTTACATATATCTGTAAAGAAGCCCTTCACTAAGTCTTCTCAGTGATGCAACCACAGAAAGCTGAGCAGGTCTTTGGTCTCCAGCCAGGACCCTGACTGACAGGCCAGATGACACACAGCCTTCCTGCCCTGCCCATTTCTGCTCTCTCCTCACACAGGTTCCTCTCCACTGAGCTATTGCGTCCGTCCCATACTTCATGCCTCTTCCTTCCCCAGGTTGCCTCTCCCCTTCTTTGTTAAGCCCCCTCCACCCTTTCAGAATCATCTTTGCTGGTCTCAAAGCCAATAAAGACTTGGGTTTTACCTGCTCCTCTCCTCCTCCTGTACTCACAGATCATTGCTCAATCAGCAAGTAAGCCAACAACCTGTGGGCATACAAGTGGTGGGAGGCAGAGGAATGGCTCAGACATGGCTGCCGTCCTTTCACCAACCCCCAGGGCTCCATCCAGGAGTCCTGCTTGGAAGCTGGAACTGGCTAAGGGCCACTAGAGTGGGACAGGGAGAAAAAAGAGGAAGGCCTGGGGTGAGAAGATGGAGGCATCTGCTCTGCAACTGGGTTCTTTTGACACCAGCAATTGTCAATCGGTGTGCTGCAAGAATTTTTAGAACATTCAATACCTGACTATTTAGTCAGGAGCACTGACCTCTTTTCCCTTAGATTGTCAAATAAAAGAAATGACAACAGCCAACACAACAATAGCCATCCTGTGTGAATGCCCTGTCTTGAACCATAAATATATAGGTCATATAAGAGTTGCATCTTTTTTTTAAATCCTCACCAGGGGATATTTTTTTCCATTGATTTTCAGAGAGAGTGAAAGGGAGGGAAGAGAAGGAGAGAGGGAGAGACAGAGAGGGAAACATCAATGAGACACATCAGTTAGTTGCCTCCTGCATGCACCCTGACCAGGGTCTGGGATCGAACCTGCAACTGAGGTACATGCCCTTGACTGGAAATCGAACCCACCACTCTTTGGGTCCACAGGCCGATGCTCTAACCACTGAGAAAACTGGCCAGGGCAAGAGTTGCATCTTATTGGTCATGTTACATGATAAGGCTGCATTTGATTGGTTAATTCTTGGTATCAGAAATCCTTATATAAAAGTATAGACACCTGATTTTTTAAAATATTTTTTTAAAGAGAGAGGAAGGGAGAGGGGGAAAGATACATCGATAAGAGAGAAACATCTATCAGCTGCCTTCTACAAGCCCCCTACTGAGGATAGAGCCCACAACATGAGCCACAACCTGGGCATGTGCCCTGATGTGGAATCCAATTGCAGGCCTTTCAGTGCATGAGACACCACCAACTGAGCCACACCTGCCACAGCTAGACACTTAATTTTTTAAAAAGTCACTTTGGAGCAAAAAGGGTAGTTAATTACTTATTACTTTTTGTAAATCAATCAAAATTATGCCTTTTTTGGGTCAGATCAGCAAAAAATATATTTTTTGGTGTGCCACAGAATTTTAGTAATTAGTTTGTGTGCCGTGAGATGAAAAAGGTTGAAAATCGCTGCTCTAGACCTTTGCCCCCTTCCCCCACCATCTCCTCCCTTTGGTTGGACAGCCCTGAACTATGGGGTCGATATTGTCTGCAGCCCAAGGCCGAGATTTTGCAAAACCCGTGTGTCCTTTGGGTTACGTGATGTCTGTGTTTGCTCAGCTTATAACCCCCTTCTACCAAGGTCTGAGGTCCTTGGAATAGGAGCCCTAGAGGAGAAAGTCTGAAAGGGACCTCCTGGGAGACTGCAAGTCTGAGCTGTGAGGCTTCCTGAGCAAACTCATGAAAGTTATCCCACCTTTGACCTGAGATCTTCATCTAAGGAGAGAACCTAAGGAAGTCTTCTGGTATCTCTCCCTCCACCCATCTCCTGCCCCTCCCAGATCTAATTTCCTTCCCTTCCCACCACAACTTCAGTCCCCAGAGCCAAGACTAAAGTGAGGTGAAGTGAAGAACTCAGCTTAGGGGCAAAATTTTAAGGGGATGCCAAAAAGTTACCAATCAAGATAAATAAGATTTCAATTTAATATTTTTAAAACATCAAAATTAATGCAAAAAAATCCATGATGAAAAAAATGGCAAAGTTTTAAATAAACACAGGATCAGTATTATTCCCTTTCTCTTTGGCTCTGCCTTTTATAACAAAGAGGGAGAGTGGATCTGTCTTCTTCCAAACCTTTTCTTCCAGAGTTCCCTGAGCCCCTAACTCTAGACTGTCAGACTTTTCTCACTTAGGCAAGATAATCATTCAGGATTCTTCTACTTCCTTACCCACCCCTAAACTTTGCTGCTACCCACCAGCCCCAACCAGGCTGGTGGTAGGGCGGGCCTGTGAGGCAGATGGCTGGGGTATTTATAACCCAGGAGCACTTCTTGGGAAAAGTGACTAAGATGCTAAGAGCATATTTATAGCTGAGTTCTGACGTAAGTGTCAGTGGAGAGGTAGGGCCAAGCCAGGCACAGCAGCAAGAAGGTAGGAAGAGCTGGAAATTGGGAGCACCTGAATGAGAGAGTGGGGGAGATGTGAGGTCAGAGATTCCTGTAGCTACTACTTGCTGCTTCCCTTGACGCTGTCTCCTGGCACCAAAAGGTAAGCTCTCTGAAACACCGCCATGGGCAAAAACCTCTACTTTGCAGTTCTACGGTCCAGACCCCAGGGGCAGAGGGCTGTCACCAGCAGGACCAACAGAGAGGGGGCTGCAGAGAGCACTGGACAGAGGGGTTTGAATGTTTCAAGACCTGGGGGGAAATGCAGGGTGGACAGGAGGGTCTATAAAGTCTCATTGTCCCTTCTCCCTGCTACCCACCACATGGTGCCTTGAGTTTCTAGGAAGTGCCTTGCACCCATCACCAAGCTCCATTGCCACCTGTCATTGTGATGAGGTCCAAAACCAAAGGTAACCGTGATGCGGGTCCTGACAACATTCTATGCTGGCAGTAGCGAGATGCGAGAGCAGAGGGAACCAGCTTCTTTGTCTCCTGTTAGAGAGACAGGGTCCCCAGAGTGAGACGTTAGGAAGCACTGCATCTCTCCACTCCCCAAAGCAGCCCCTTCCCTGGGACACTGGTCAACGCTGAGACAGCTGCTGTCCAGTAGCACGGCACTGCCACATGGTGGACATTGTCGGTACTGAGACCCAGCCCCCAAAGCACCACCTCTCTTCCCCTTATGCCAGGTCCAGCAATCTCTCTTGACAGCCCCCACTGGCTAAATAGTGGAGAGATGAGTAAAATGGGCTGGGAGAACGTTTCCAAATCACACTCACTTCTTCCCATCTTCTTGAAGAAACTGGGGTGTAAGGGAAAAGGCTAGCATGAGGCCTTCCCTCATAACTTCAAGGTGGAGGGGCCTTGGCCCTCCAATTTAAAGTCAGCAAGAAAGTGTGATGAGGAGGACTGGGATTGGAACTATGGTTGCTGCACTTTTTGTTTGGTTCTACTCTTAAAAGTCCTAAACCGCTCATTTCCCACCCCCATTAACAGAGACCTGGCACCACTTCTAGGGTGCCCCACATTAAGCAACTCTCACAGTCCCCTGAAAGAGAACCAGCAGCTGGGTACACGCCCTCCCAAGTCCCATGCCCTCTGCCAGCTTTGCTGGACTCTGCCCTGCTATAAGATTGCATCACCCCCACCCTCATCCCACCTCCCTGGGTTTCTCCAGACATCACAGTAACATGCCAACCCCATGCTCCTGCCCTCCTCCACATTGTGCTTCAGTCCAGCTGGACTCTGGGCAGCCAGCACAGGCAGGGTCAGGGGGTGACTTTCGTGTCCCGTGGCACTGCCACCTTGGCCTGGGCAAAAGGACTCTGTTCCTCCCGCCCCCACCCCCTAACCTCTCACCCCTGGACCAGACCCATTGCTAGAAATAGAAACCAGAGTTGTTCTTGCCCAAAGACCCCAGAGAAAGAACCACTGGAACTCACAACTGCATCAGGGAAACTCCTGCAGCGGTGGCCGCAGAGCAAGCTAAAGAGGCTGAAAGGATGAAGGGAAGTTGCCCCTCTCCACCTTGCTATATGGAGTTCCCTCCCCCAAGTCCCAGACCTTGAGGACTGACCATGTGAAATCATCCTCTTTCTTGCATCATGCGTGTCCACATTGCCCCCCCCCCATACCCCTACCTTAAGCTCAGTGACCAGGGCCAAGTGGTGAAACCTGAGCTCCAGGGGGGACAGCCACCCCCTGCAGGGGCTTGATGGGCAGCACAGCTGGCCAATCTGGGGCTCAGAGGGTAGGTCTGCTGGCTGACCAGGCTGACCACGAGGTGAGGGAGCCCCACGCTGCAGGCTCTAAAGAGGCCCCAGTCAGTAACCAGACATGAGCTGTGAGGGTCAAATTGGCAGACTGAGCTAAACACAGCTACCCATCGGACCACCCACTTTCTACCAGGCAATAGAAGATAGGTGGCTCTACCCTTGGCTAAGGGTAGGTGTGGCACTGGTGTCTGCTGCTGCTGTGCCCTCTTTGGCCTCCACGCAATCAGACTCAACAGAAGGAGCAACTGCCATCCGAGGCTCCCATTCCGACCCAGGGACATTCATCAGGAACATGGGGCTCCCTGATGTCCAGCTCCCGCTGCTGCTGCTGTGGGCACTGGTGTGGGCGCAGGGGGCAAGGTCTCTGTGTCCCTCCTGTGGGGGCCCCACACTGGTGCCCCAAGCAGAACGAGCCCTGGTCCTGGAGCTGGCCAAGCAGCAAATCCTGGCGGGGCTGCACCTGACCAGTCGTCCCAGAATAACTAATCCTCCACCCCAGGCAGCACTGACCAGAGCTCTCCGGAGACTACAGCAGGAAAGTGTGGCTCCGAAGAGTGGGGAGGAGGTCATCAGCTTTGCTACCACCACAGGTGGGTGAGGGAGAGACAGGCAGAGAACAGACAGGGAGAGGGAAGCAGAAAGGGAGGCTGACAGAAAAGGCAGACAGGGCTGGGTGTGGGAGGAGAAGCTGGGGCAGGGGCTGGGTGCGGAGGATGCTAGGCAGTCCCTGTTTCTTCTAAAGGTGGGTGCTAGGGAGAGCAGAGGGCAGGGCTTGCAGGAGTCTCGGAGGAGAGCTCCATCTCTGCCCCGTCCCTCAGTCCTCTCTCCATCTCTCCGGCAGACTCCTCCACTTCAACCTGCAGCTCCACGCTTACCTTCCGCCTGTCCACTCCTCGGTCCCACCGCCTGTACTATGCCCGCCTGTGGCTGCACGCGCTCCCCACCCTTCCTGGCACTCTTTTCTTGAAGATCTTCCGATGGGACCCCAGGAGGAGGCACAGAGGGCCCCGCGCCTTGCTGGCTGAGCACCAAGTTTCAACCCCCGGCTGGCATGCTCTGACTCTGCCCTCTAGTGGCTTGAGGGGTGAGGAGTCTCGCACCCTGAGACTACAGCTGGACTGCAGTCCCCTAGAAGGCAACAGCACAGCTGCCAGGCGGTCTCAGCGGCTCCTGGACACTGAGGGAAACCGGCGGCCCTTCCTGGAGCTTAAGATCCGGCCCAGTGAGCTGGGAGCAGGCCGGGCCAGGAGGAGGACCCCCACCTGTGAGCCTGAGACTCCCTTATGTTGTAGACGAGACCATTACGTAAACTTCCAGGAACTGGGATGGCGGGACTGGATCCTGCAGCCTGAGGGGTACCAGCTGAATTACTGCAGTGGGCAGTGCCCCTCCCACCTGGCTGGCAGTCCGGGCATCGCTGCCTCTTTCCATTCTGCTGTCTTCAGCCTCCTCAAGGCCAACAATCCTTGGCCCTTGGGTACCTCCTGCTGTGTCCCTACTGCCCGAAGGCCTCTCTCTCTTCTCTACCTGAACCGTGATGGCAATGTGGTCAAGACAGATGTGCCAGATATGGTGGTGGAGGCCTGTGGTTGCAGCTAGCAAGAGGACCTGGGGGTTTGAAGGAAAGAGATCAAGTTGGGGGTTCCCAGGCAAAGGGCATCTGTGGCTGGAGGCATCAGATTCCTGATCTGCACCTCCACTCAATGGGCCACCTTGGCAGTATGACTGAGTTGACCCCTATGGGACCCAAATGGATACTTTCTTGTCCAGACTCTGGTCTATTCCAGGCTGGTTGATGTGTGGGGAGATGGGAAAAGTCTGTCCTCTGAAGGAATCTACCCAGAAAGAATGATTTCCTACCCCAAGCCCTATGAGAAAATAGCAGAGGCAAGGGGGGGAGGGAGGGAGGGAAGGAAGGAGCAAGCAGATAAAAATGACTTAGTCTCTCCCAAGAAGAGAAAGTCCTCAAGTGAGAGAAGGAAGAAGCAGACTGAGGGTCCAGCAGGCTTGAAGACAGGGGAAACAGACTGGCCAGGGGTAGGACTGTCGAAGTGCTTTAAGGGAAGGTCAAGAAGGGATGGGCAAGGAGCTGAAGAAAGGTGTTTAAGAGAGCCCCAGAAATGGGAAGAGAGAAGGGTACTGAGCCTGAGAAGTTCCTTGTTTTTTCCCAGTGGGGGGCAGGACCCACTGGGGAGACAAACATTTATACTTTCCTAATAAAAATGGAGACAAAACTCAACAAGTGTGAGTCATAAAGAAGGGCTGAGAAGATGATCCAGAGCAATGGTTCTCGAGGTGTGGTCTGGGGACTCCTCGGAGGTTCCCGAGACCCTTTCAGGGGTGTCCACAGGGTCAAAACTATTTTCATAATAATACTAAGATGTTGGTCGCCTTTTTATTTTCATTATCTCAAAAGCATACAGTGTTTTCCAGAGGCTGTGTGACGTGATTACATCATCTTTCTGACATCATTGTTAATGGGATGTGTGCTTGTGTATTCCTACGTTACAAACTTTTTTCAGTTTTAATTTCTAATATGGTAAACTGATATAAACCACATAAACAAAGCTTAATAATTTTAAAGAGGTAAAGTGGCCTTGAAACCAAATATTTGAGAATCGCCGATCTAGAGAAAGCAGTGTGGGGAGAAAAAAGCAGTGTGCCCTAAAAGAACTACCTTGGGAGACGGCACATGGCTGAGACAGGAGCATTTGGAGGGTCCATTCTTCTCCACTGACCTCTGGTCTTGCTTGACTCTCTGGGTATAACTGGTGTCTGGGTCAAAGAAACATGGGGGAGGACGCTCAGATAGGGCTCCATATCTGTACCTCACAGCTACTATCTATATTTGTCTGGCCTCAGATCACTTCCTAGTTTCCCCTTTTCCCCTTGACACTCAGACTGAACAGTTAACCTACTAACACTCCAGGCCCAAGGAGGTGGTTCTTGGAAGCAGAGTCAGGATGTGGGAGGTCTGTCTGAAAGGTAACAGAAAAAGAAGGGACCCTTTCCCCCACCATGCTTTCTCCCCTTTCTCATAAAGAAAGGTCAGAGAAAATAAAATAGCTGCCCCTTCCCCTCCATCTGGTCACCATGGCAACACAAATCCAAAGCGACAGGGCACTCCCCTATTAGACACTACCGCTCTACGCAAGCAGCCTCTGCCAGTCCGTTTCTTTGGGCTCATACGACCCCCTCCCTGGACTCCTAACTGGGCTTTAGGGTGGGGGGGGTGCTGACCTGTAAAGCCTACTCCTTTAGCTTCCCCAGTCTCCTCTGCCTCCAGACTCCAAGAGGGTGTCATGTGCCAAAAAGGCCAGCAGAGGGAGCAGACAGCCTGGAAGAGCAAAGGGAGAGCGGACAGCGCTGAGGTGCGGAGTTGGCCACAGTCCCCCGAATTTCGAGACCGAGGAGAACGGGGGTTCCTCGGAACAAGTGCTTCAGTGCCAAGGTTCCTTCGTAACCTTGTGAACACACATTCTGCACCCAGCCTCTGTTCCTCTCATGCTCCATAGACCCCTCACCTTCCGTCCAGGGCCTCCAACCCAAGGCTGTCACAATCCTGTTTCCAACAAATTCCAACTCCGTCCCAACTCCTTCATGTTCCATCCAAAGAGTAACCGCAGGGTGGCGAAATGCTCAGTCAGTACCAGCCAAAGTCGTCGACCCTACCTCCAACAAAATCTTTCTGGAATGAACTTTTTCGTTGCCCCCTTCCCGCCCTGCAATATATTTCTCAGTCTGTTTTTTCTGCGTCTGGTTCAGGGCCTCTTCGTGGGCAGCCGATCCAAGGATCCATGCCGGGATTTACTGCCCACCACCAGCAGCGTGTTGTGGGGGGGCAGCATAGGGTCCCTCAAGGGAGGGGGAGGATCCTGGGGGTCCTGGGGGTGCAATAAGCCCGGCACCCCCTCTCTTGCTTCCAGCTACCCCGCCTCATCCCTACAGAACGGCAAGAGGGAGGGAAATAGGGAGGTGAAGGGCGAGCGGGAAGAGCAGCGGCACGCCAGCGGCTAGAGCGAGAAAAAGTTTTTGCATTAGGGAAAAAAAAAGTTTGCGCTTCTCGCGGGTGGTCCCGGCTCGCGGCCCGGCGGGCTGGGCCGGCGGGAGGGCTGGGGGCC